ATAGGGTCTTTGCTAGACAAGCCGAAGGATTCTAAACTGTGCCTGACTTTAATTGCTGAAAGTATGTCCTTGTTAACATATATGTCATCGACATATGCTGATGCAGCTCTTTTCATCAGCTCATCCTGATCTAGCACTGTCTTAATGATTGATTTCATAATTAGAGGAGCTACATTAAGGCCAAACCCCAGACGCGTCAAGCAGTACCGCCTTCCTTTGATGATAACCATTTGGAAAGGCCATAACGTCTCATGGATTCGTATTTGAAGGTATGCATTTCGCAGATCAAGCAGAGCCACATTCACTCCTTGCTGCTGCCATTCCCTCATTCATTCAGCATACACGTCTGCATCTGCCGTAAAGTCATCTACATACTGATTCATCACCCTATAGTCCATCACTGGCCATACCTTAGCCTTGGTGGCTTGTGCAACAGCCATCAAGGGGATTAATCCTCTTGGGGCCCCAATCGGTCTTGCGGATATGGTATCAACCAGCCATTTGCAAGACACATCTCCAGTTTGCTCTTGTAGACAGCTCTGTTCTTATTTGACACCGTGTATATGGTGTTACGCAATTGATCTGGTGCTCTATTTCCTGTCCACTGCCCAAGTCTTTGTTCCTTAGTCATATGCGATACAAAAATCCCATTCCTCAATTTTAATGGCAGCATGATTCACAATTTCTCCTGAGCTGCACTTCCCTGGTATGCATGATCATAACACCACCTAATTTACATATGGCATCAATTCTGATCAGCAAATCATATCTCGGCACAATCACCTCCCTCTGTTAGGATTGAAATCACTCCAATTCTGTAGCACACATGGTACATCCCGTCAATCGTCCTAATCATCACACATCACTCCTTCCAGGCCTGACAGCAGCTTGCATTTATTGTTCAACGGGTACATCCTGTGTCTATGAGAGCCAAACATTACATGCCATTCACGTGTACCCTGACTAAGGGCAAATTCATACTTACAGACAGGGGGCAAGGGTGGCGACAGTTCTTTGTTCCCAAGCTTGTTTCCTGGACATTTCCACGCTAGATGGCCCAGATTGTTACAGTGATAGCAATGTGGTTTACTACGATTCCCACTCCCTGTATTACTTCGACTCCTGTACTCTCGGGAGAAGTGGTTAAGACCACCACACTTGTAGCATTTGGGACCCTACTGAGCTATGGGGACACGACAGTTGCCAGCAACATTCTCCTCTGTCTGTGCAGCTGCTGCGATGTGCTCTGACTCCTTCAAAATGGTTTGGGCTCTCCCCTAGCTTTGATGATGCTCGCAGGAGCCAGCTGACACGAATGGGTAGACCTTCCAAAATGCACACACCACTATCTGGTCATTAACATCCCCGAATGGTACCGACAGTTTTCTCATATCGGCTCGGTACACATCAACTTTCTCACCAGGGAGGAATCCCCACCCAGTAAATTGCCTCCAAGCAATGGACTCATCCGTGCCAAATGCTGTTAAAAGGGCATACTTGATTTCATCCAAATCCGCCTCATCCCCAAGTTGCTGGTAGATGGCGTAAGCGCCTCCTCTTAGCCTCAACATAATGACCAATGCAGGCTCCTTGATTTAGAACAGTTTGCAGACGTGGTCTGCCTTCTCAAACCACTCAACAATAGATGGACTAGTGGGGGAGCCATCAAATTCTGGTGTTAATTTCTAATCAAACCGGTCCATTTTTATCAAAGTACAGCCAAAATAGCTTGTGGTTAATTTAGTTCACCCGTCGTTTGCAATAACTGAAATTGATTAAGGTGCTTGCTTCCAAGCAACAGACCTCTTCCTTCTTCTTTTGTTCTTGTTCCCATTCGTCTGTATGGCGTCACACCAACCAAAGTTCTGCCCATCCTCCTCACAGACTCGCTATTTATGCCTGCGTCGGAGGGAACTAATATTTGCATACGAGACTTAATTCTCGTTTGCACGAGACTTCCTATTTTATAAATTCAAACTTGTTTGAATTCTTAATCTTTTTCATTGTATATCTGCATGCAAGATAGGAATTTCGGAATAATCCATTTCACTTTTAATGGCAGTCGCGATCCTTCAACAAGACCTGACACACCAAGCAAATTGGCTTTGCGGGAGGTGAGTCTTCTCATTCCTCACAAAAGCTATCTTTAATGCTTAAGAAAACAACTAGGGAGAGAAGGATGATAACTACAATTTGGATTCATATTTACCTAAGCATGTACTTTTTAGTAAATAAGTACATTTATATAATTGAGAAATTAATAAGAACGTAACAAAAATTGTTTATGATCCATTTTTGACAATTTTTTTTAACACAAAATCTTGTGAATTTCAAATGCATGTGTATCTTTTCTATCAGACAGTTTTGAGGAGTAATAGTATTGTGTGTGTGTGTGTGTTTGTGTGTGTGTGTATTTCAGCAGCAAGAATTTTCTCAAACATGTTTTGTTAAATAATAATGACACATGTTCAGTCTATGAATTTTTTATTAAATCCTTCAAATTTCTGAATAAGTTGTTTTTTATCAGTAAATATGTTAAAATTCATATTAACTTTGATTTTTTAACCAAGTATTTTTTAATGTTGCTGCATTTGTTTTCAATGATTATCCTGTGTGTAGTTATGCAACTGTTTTTTTAATTCTGACATTCTCTTGTTTGATGGAACCAATTTCAAGTCACTCAAACTGAAATTGTTATGTATGTGTATGGCTTCTTTTTTTTCTTTTTATTTAACACACTTTAAGATACAGTCCCTATAGAGAAAGATACCTTATTTAATGTTGGCTGCTTCTCTTTTATTACAACAATCTCCACAGATTTCTTGAATATTCATGTAGTTGGATAAAAAATACTGTTTAATTAAAAAACAAAGCTCAAATATGAGTATCCGTCAAAAAATAATGTTTAAACAGAATAAATTAAAAATGTTTATGTTAGGATATGAAACATAGCAGATATGAATCTTTCAAGTATCAGCAGAGATTATCTGTTCAAAAGCACTATTCGGCTTTATTTGACTATAAGTCCTACATGGCTGAGCATTTAAGTATGTCAGATTAAATGACAGTTTCCCATAGGGGATGCAAGTTCGAATTCTATCAGAGGATGCATATTTTTCTGACAAAATTTCTCAATTATTCAGGCTGGTAGATGTAGTTGGATGAAAAATACTGTTGATTAAAAAACAGAAATTCTACTCCAATATGAGTATCCATCAAAAATAAACAAAATAAATGAAAAAAAAAACAACATATATGTATATACACACTATAGTTGCATATATATATATATATATATATATATATATATATATATATATATACATATAGTAGTGGCCATAATATAAGGAACGGAAACAACAAAGACATAATGAGTTTTTTTTTCTTCAAAAGAGAGCATTTTGCATGTAGAATTTGTCATATTGCTTAAAAATAAAGTCCTAATGATAAATGAACTTTTACTTATTGTTGAAAAGATCCATCAAGTTTTTTAACAGTGTAAATTTAAGTTTATGCAAATTATTAACATCGTTCCTTAACTTTTGTCCAGTAGATTATTTCCTTTGTTCCATTCAATCTTTATTTAAAAAAAAAACTATTATGTAAATTTTTGTAACTTTGTATAATATTTACGCATTACACCCTAATCTTTATTCGGGAAAAATTTCATTGCTAATCATGCATTACTTTTTAAGTAATACACATATTTATGTCTATATGTATTATGTATATATATATATATATATATATATATATATATATATATATATATATATATATATATATATATATATATATACATATATATATATATATATATATATATATACACACACACACACTACATTTCAAAAGTTTGAGGTCATCCATGGTAATTTTTTTTAAACTGGCCCCAAAAGTAATTGTTTTGTACTTTAAATAAGAGAAAAATTATTAAACATAGTTAAAAAAAATGAGGCATGATTTTTTATTAGAAGTTTTATTATGATAAAAAGAAAAAAAAGCATTTTATGATTAAATTTTGTTCTCATCAAAATATCCTCCTTTAGCCTTTTTTTCTTGTATTCACTGCAAAGGTTTTCAATATTAAAGTTTGATAATTTATTCCATTCTTCTTTCAATGATTCTAGGGCTGTTTTTACATTTTTTTAACTCTTCTGTCAATGCTAATTCTTTGAACTGTGGTAATATATATATATATATATGAAGAAAAATTTGGAAAAAACAAACAAAAATCCTTAGATGCAATTATGTTTGGATTTTTGTTTGTTTTTTCCAAATTTTTCTTCATTCTGTCGGATCTATATCCATTTACATTTGCTTACATATATATATATATATATATATATATATATATATATATATATATTCAGTGATTCTCATTAAAAAATTTGACTCTTGCTTAAAATTCTTTTTCTATATATATTTATACATGTTTACACGTAGTCTAGTCTATAATATGAAGATTAAAGCAGATAGTGGGAATAAACTTAATATACCTGACATATTTGCATTCTGTTATGTATCATCAATGCTATAAATTATTAAGTAACTCATTAATTTGGACACTTTAAAACACTTGATTAACATACAATCATCGTTGACTTTAAGAAAGCTGTACATCTTTTGTATGCATCTTCTGTAGTTTTTGTCCCAAGTTTAGAACTATATCATAGAAATACACCATAATAGTGTTGCTTTTTTACTTTTAAATTTTTACTGCTGATTAATCTTCAACTTACAGTTGATGAGTGTTGAATTATTCTACAATTTTGTTTCAAAGAAACACAAATGAAGTATTGGCATAATTAAAATATTACTCTTATTTCTTAAAAATAAGCTTAAAATAAAAATCAGTACAAAAATTATTAGTTTTCTGTTGCATACATATACATGAACAGAAACAAGCCCAAAATCTATCATTTAAACTTTGACCTTTAAAAAAAATGATATATCTACATTATCTACATAGGTAAATTATTTATTATTATTATTTACAGGAACTAACAAAGTACATTCGTGGTGAAGAAACCAATTCTGATTCTGTGATACAGTTCTTACAGAACTATGTAAGGTATGGACTTGAGAGGATTGAACTCAGGGATGAACTTTACTGCCAAACAATTCGGCAGACTCACAAAAACCCTGAGCCAGAATCTCTTGTGAAGGCATGGGGTGTAATGTGCTTGTGTTCTGCTGCTTTCTCTGCTAGTAAAACATTGCACAAGGTAAGTAAAACTATGAAAATATTTAATTTTTATTAAGCGTTTTGGAGAAAAATAATTATCAAACTCAAAAAAGTTATTTTTGTTGTATTTTCAAGTTAGAGCATTTCAGTCAATCATCTTAAATACTATATCAAGAGAGAGGCCCTTTGCAAAAGAGATTATAATTAAAGAAAAATACAACTACATTGTTTTTGTTGGCAAAGATCCATATTTGTAATTTTTTTAATTCACTAATGGAAATAATATTATAACACTGAAGGATGACACTGATTTAAAAAGTAGCAATAGCAATAAGATCATAGTTTATGACCTGACAACCTAAATGTATAACAATAAAAATAAAATAACATTTCAGTCAGCCGATTTTGCAGCTGTCTTTAATTAAATTGTTTCTGGTGCAAAAATTTGGTTATCTATTTCTTATAATTGAGTCTGTAATTTTTATCTTTTTGTTATGATAATACAAATAACTTCAACTTCAGTAGACATTGTATTATTACAAACATATTCAGTATAGAATGACCAGAGGAAGAACTGTACAAAATATTGAAAACTTTTGCAATAAATGAAAAGTTTTCTTGGCAGGAAAGTAATTATGATGGTACAGTAATTCAAGAATTTGTTTTATGGTATTAATCTTAAAGTTACCTCTCCAATTATCTAATTGCTAATCTATCACCCAGGATGAGAGTTGGTTCTAATTTTAAGAAATAATGTGTATTTATCATAAATTTTCCACCAAAATATCAGAACATAAAACAATTTTCTTGGTATTTACTTCCTAAAAACAAATTAATATACATGTTCGGACAAGGTAGATCTTAAATAAATTAAAAACATTTTCTTTAGTGATAACATAGCTTTCCAGAAAAAAATGATCACATGTATTCAGTAAATATTCAACTTATAAAAAGAAATGGAAACTTTGGTATAATGCTTAACAGGCTGATCTCAATGATTATTCATTTGAATAGTGAGCTTGATAATTTTTTACTCTATGGCTTTCTGTAGGTTTAAACTGAGTATTGATCAATTGATTTGTTTAATGGCATAGCAACTCATTATGGGTCATTTAATACCAAAATTTAAGTTTCTTGGGAGTTTTGAAGTAATAAAAATGCGATATATGTCATTCTGCTTTCACAATTGAATATATGATGATTGGTTGGTTGGTCTTGTTTAGCAGCAAATCAACCTCTATAGATAATTTAATGCCCAAATCCAAATATTTTGAATACAATTTCATAGCTTCAACTAAACATGTTTTGAACATAATCATATGACTTCAACTACAAATAAAATGGATTGTTGTTTTTTTTTTTAAATATAAAAATGTATTTCTGGTAATTTTTCTATAAAATATATTTTTACTATAGTATATTTTCATAGTGTTTTGTTTTTGTTTGGGGGTGGGGTTCACTATTTTCCTATAGCTGGGTCCCTAACAACTACTAACACCCCAGGTCAGGATGAACCTGGGAACAACAGCAATTAAGAGGTGATTCCATGCTCCTCAAAACCTCCAATCAGAGGCCTTGCTGTCAGTTGTAATTTATTTTCCTACCCAGGACTACTAAACTGAGTAACAATCAGCTAAAATGAAATCCTAAGTAACCATACTGCAATAAATTAAAAAATTTCTGTTCTCAATAAAGTTTTCTTTTTTTATGAAAGTGATTGAGGGACTAATTAAAAATGTCAAACAATGATGCAAATTTAAAATTCTTCTCATTTTAATGTCAGTTTTGATTTTAGACATTAATTCTTTATAAATTTTAAACAACTGGGAAAGACATGATTTACATATAATTTTTAAAAATTCATTAATTCTGAGAATTGTATAGACTTTTTACAAAATTTTTAAAAAAATCAAAAAATCATATAAATTATGTTGTGTGTATTCCCAAGTAAATAGCAGTGCAGACATGGAAGGAAATATTTTACTGGGCACAATCATATTGGATGATTATGTAAGCCACTAAGTTTAACTTTTTAAATCTGGTTATCTGCAGTCAATAGCAATAAAGATCCAAGTTCATTTTATTGCTATTATGCAATCAGTTATTGTAATTTTATCATTAAAATCTACCATACTAAAAGTGGAATTTTCTATAATATCAGCAATCTGATTAATAAATATAGTGTTGAAAATATCCCCCCATTTGTTTTAAAGATCCTAATAATTAACATTGCCAGATTTGTCAAATGATTTCTTATATTTTAAGTATGTTTGTCCAATACAATATTATTGTTTATGTATATATATATATAAATTAGAAATTATTTGAATTCAAATTTGAACAAAGTTCTATTTAACAAATCTCATGACCCTATAAATAATTGAATTCAACCATAAATATTTACAAAACAACTGATGTTTATTTTTCTCAATATATTTGTGAAAATGACTTTCTTGTAATGAAAGTATTTTTGTTTAAAACATTCAAGGATCAAGAGATTGTGAAAATAAGCAGTGTATCAACAGTCCTGAAATGCCATATTAATACACTGGACTTCCTGGTATTAATCCAGGCCTGTATTCTTGCAAGTAAATGATTGTACAGATAACAGAGACCATCCTGTGATACCCATGTAACCACTGATATAATATTGCAAGAGTTTTAGGTGAACTAACTGATCAAGTCAGGTATCATACCATCAGGTAACACACAAGGGACAAATCTAGCAATCATGCCAGTCAGAGAATATTTTGCAGATCATGTTGAGTAGTTTGGGCAGGTGTTATCACTGGAATAAAGATAGAATGGGTTGAACAATGTTCTGAGCATTCAGGATGCCTTTCAGTGTTCCTTCCTAAACAGCAAATAAAAGTAAGAGTTGTAACTTATAGTACTTCACACCATGATGTCAGTGATTGGGACCATGTGTTATGAGATAGTACACTCTGAAAGACATTGCTCTACAGGTCTACACTGCACACACAAATGATTATCACTTGCATAAAGACAGAACCTGCTGTCATTACTGAACACTAAAAAACAATTTTATCTCACAAGTAATACTCTCACAACAGCAATAAAGATTTACATGACAGATGCTCCTTGTTAATGTTCTTGGGACTATAATTGCTAGTCTGTGCTGTGTCTGCCATATGGTCTGCTACTGTTGTCTTTACAAAAAATATCAGTCTTGGCAAGGACTTGTACTAATTCACCACCCAGATGGTCAATGGTTGTAGAAATGTTTATTTTCAAAAGTGGTCAATACTTTGAAGTAACAATGATGCAACGCCTCCAACATTGCAGCAATTCCCTGAAATCATTATCCAAACTCTCTTTTATAATTTAGAACTATGTTTTTAATTATGTAAAGGATTTTTGAACATTGATTTGGCCTTTCTTTCTTGGGATTAATTTTCTACTTTCATTTTTTTTTCTGCTATTATTCAATTACTAATGAATTGATAATTTGATCATATGGAATATTTCTGTAGAAAACTTTTTACTGTGCACAGTAGCTTACTATTGACTCTTTTTTTTTTAAATTACAGTTCACTTAAAAAATCATTTCCACTAAAACTGTTTATTATTTAATGTGTTAGTATTTACATGTGTGTAGTAAAAACAGAGCCAGTGAATAAATTTATACCAACTTATACCAAGACTTTATTGCACTTTACTCTGTCTACTGACAGATATTACAGGAAGCTTTTTATACCTCCTAGATCTTAAGGGGAGGTAACTAATGATTTATCAGTACATTCTCCTCTACGTATTTTATTTATAAGGGAGAAAATCTCTTAGGTATGCAGGCTTTTTACAGATTCTCTGTGAATGCCTGGGTAGTTCTTGTATTGGACTATTCGGGCTGAAAGATCTCTCATTTTGAGCTCATCTGTTAGTCTGGGTATGGAAGTATCTCATCCTTCTTGATGGACGAAGCTGCTCTGAGTCTGAATGTGGATCTTCTGGATCTGTGTCTGGATGTATCCACTTCTGGGACATTGATTGCTCATCAGGATCATCTGGAGTTGTTAGTATCTCGGATGTTAATCTCTCTGAAATGTCTGATGGAGGCACAACAGAGGCTGTGTCATCATCCTGGGGTAATGTGTCAGGAGTTATTCTGGTGGTGGTCTCCTGATTGGTTTCTAGTGTCAAAGAGATCAGATCTCCTCACTAGGGTGGTTTTAGGATCTAGTACTTCTCCAGCAAGAGCCAGATCTCTAAGAAAGACTGTAGTTTGCCTTCCATCCGGGTGTTGTAGGAGTGTGTATTGTGGGTTTGCTTCTATTAGTTCCACCTTGTCTACCAGGGGTGGGGGGCATGTTTGGTATAGTGAATGTGGTGTCTCAGTAGAACTGTACCTGGTTGACAGAATGAGACACATAGTTAGTAAGCCAATTCTGGTTCTCAAGGAGTAGAGCGTCAACAAAGTTCATAAAAGTTTCAACCCAGTGTGTTCAGCGTTTATCTGCTGCTTCACTTTCTGAGTCATAGGAAAATCATTCTAGCAACATATAAAGTTTCATTGAAAGTGCAATAAATTGCAGTAAAAACAGAACCAGTGAATAAACTTATACCAAAGTTTTATTGCACTCTCTGACTACTCATCTACTGACGGATATTACAGAGTGTTTTTTTATGGGGAGGTAACTGATGATTTATCAGTACAATGTGTATGCTTTGTCATCAATGCATTCTATAGTACATTTGCAATAACATTTTAAGTTTATTTACTATTCTTTTCTGTAAAATCTCATTGCTGCTCTAGCTGATATTTTATCAATTCTATATTTTCTGTAATATGTTTATTAAAATATTTATTCTGATGCATTTTAACTCTTTATATTGTAAATCATTCTTTTGTACATAATTTGTCATACATGTGTTTCGTATATTTAGTTTAATTACTTTTTTTTAAAGAAAATGTTTATATTTTGATAATAGATTTTTAGATAATTATGGCAATATATTTGATTTTATTTCTCACTTTTTTTTTCTTTCTACTCAGTATGTGGTCTCTTATGTAAGAAAGCATCTTGGTGATCCAACTGTTGGGAAATATGCAAAAATCTGTTTTTCCCAATTAAGAAAACCAAGAGTTATGGCCAGGAAATACCCACCTTCAGCAATGGAGATTCTTGTAAGTACATTAGTCAATGAAGTCTTTTTTTTTTTTCAAATTTTGAGAAAGATAATAACAAAGAACCTCCATACTTCAAACATCTCTGCCTGAACTCTGAAAGTTTATTGGTTAATTAAATCTTGACCTTTTCAAGTCTAGAATTAGCTGTCTATCTTTCCTTTTCTTACATTAATACAACTCCACACAGTAACCCTCTACTTGGGCCTTGTACTAGGGAAACATTAGTTAAAAAAAAAAAATCAAACAAATAAATGGATAAGAACATTGAACAAATCCATAAAAAAAGGATTTTTAAGGGAAACTAGACAATTAAAACATGAAAAATACATTATTCTAAGGACACAGATTTGGTATACTATATGAGTTCAAAATGATGTGGTTTCAACTGAAAAATACTTTAAAGAAACTATATAAATATATGTATATATCTATAATTCTCAAAATGTGTGTGTATGTATGTGTGTGTGTGATCGGATGTTGTTTATGCATTTCCACAGTTTTCATCTGATTTTGATGAATTTTTTTTGTGTGATAGATAATTCTTCAGTGCTGGTTTTGAGTCCAAATTGACTGGAAAAGATTACAACCTTGAAGGTGAAAAATCAAAAAATCTGTGTTTATTTACCAAGTTTTGTTTGTTCATGTTCTCTCAGTTTCATTCATCTAATACATTTCCTAATATTACTTTTTCACACATAACCTTCCAATCCTAGCTCATGCTGTGTGGACATGATTCACACCCTCATGTTTCCTATCAGTTGCTGCTGACCTTGATAATTAGTGTGTGCAGCAACGCGTGTACATGTGGCCCTTCAACATGTGCTGTGTCAAGCACTGACACACACGCTGATGCATCCGCATGACCTACAGAACACAACACCTGTTCAAGTTGCCCATTGTCTGCATGAAGCCCTTTTACATATCCAATCAAATGTCACTGTGTTATACTGGTTGTCTACACGTCCTAATCTCATTGCTACCACTTAATTCCACTTCCACTTCTACTTCTGTACGTCCAGCCTTGCTTACACATTCCCCTTCTCTTGGTCAATTGTTCAATCTCTCTCAAGTGAGGTTACCTTTTCCATTGCGTAAAGCCTATACTACAGTTTTAAGGTGTTGCTTTCATTGTCGTTTATGGCCGTTCCAAAATCTAAAGATTAATATAGCCATCGGCTTTCCAGAAGAGCATACCTGAATGAGGCTGAAAATGATGTTCAAAGGACTCAACGGTTGAGGAGAAATGCCTCTTCAACTTGCTGCTGCATGTGCTGCTGAAACTGAGGGGCAGCGTGGAAATCATTTGCAATTGAATGCTACTTCTACTGCTACCACACAGTCAGTGGAGTTGTCTGCTACCCGTCAAAATAGACTGAATGCTAATAGTGCAGCAATTAGCAGTGGCCGTTGGTTAAACCAGGGCTTCCGTTACAACCCCAACACTCAATATGGCCTTTTTTCATACATCCAAATTCTATGTCTGTTACCTGAACTTCATGTGGAGCCAAAAAGTGGCCTGAAGAGCCTCCTGGACTATGCTGTTCAAATGAAAAGGTCCAGCTGCCTCTACTTCAGGATCCACGTGAACCATTAAAAACATTGATGACTGGTGGCACTTCTGAGTCAAAGAAAACACAATGTCATCTACAGCGAGATGCTGCAGGATTCGTGAATATACAGGTTGCTGCATAGAGTGAGTTTCTATGCTTTCATTTAAACATTTGTCTTCCTTATGCTAAACAATACCTCTATCTTTCCTTCCACAGGCCACCTTCAACTGCATTGCCTCCCCCTTGAAATGGCATAATTTCCAGCACATTGCATAACAATAGAAAATGCATCCCCCACCACTAATTTTCTCCTTCGGCTGTAATGGTCCATGGAAGAGGTTCCTTCCTTGCAAGAGTGAGAATACAAAACCGGCTCTTTTCAGCCCCCACCTTCAAATTGTTATCCCCAAATTTTGGGGGACATGCCTTAGTTGCACCCAATTGTTGACACTAATATTGATTTTCAGGTGGGCTGACTTTAAACTTAAACTGCTCCAATTGAACAGCAAAAATTCCCAGTAATGAAACACCCAGTCGAAGATGGGTTATACTGTATCCAAAGTATATATATATATATATATATATATATATATATATATATATATATATATATATATATATACTGCCACATGAGTTAATCTATGTGTGTGTATATATGTTTATGCATTGGTGTGTGCATATATTTATATTTATGTGAGTATGTGTGCATATATATGTGTATGTGTGTATATATGTATATATGTATACTTATCATAAATGTGTATGTTTATGTATTTATATGTATGTATTTCTATGTATATATATATATACATATGTATATGTGTTTATGTATGTATATGTATATATATGTATGTTTTATGTATTTATATGTATGTATTTCTGTATGTATATATATATATGTATGTGTATTTATATGTGTGTGTATATATATATATATATATATATATATATATATATAGATATATGTCTGTATATGTGTGTTGATTTATGTTTGCTGCCATGTGTATATATGTGTATGTATGTATGTACTTATGACTATACACTTATTTCTGTAGGTATTTCTTTTTATCTTATTTTTCTTCACCTAATATATAATAAAACTATTATCAACTTATATGATTAAAATATGTTTTTATAGATATTTGTGGATTTGGAATTTTCATTTTTTAATATATCAAATAATATTATTTTTAACCATTTTTATATTTGTATATTTGCTCGCTTAAGTTATATTTTAATAAGTGGCTAGCATTTATTTAATGACACTTTCAGTCTTAAATATTTATTGGTTGTGGTATCTGATTGTCTAGGTCAATGTCGGTGGATGTGTGTACATGTATTTATCGGTGTCTATGTGTATGGAAAGCGCATTCACTTTTAATTATGTATGTATGTATGTATGTATGTGTTTGTTTCCCCCCTTTTTTTTTCTTTTTTTTTCATAAAGGGCCGGGGAGATGTTCTCTGTCTCATCACTTTTTTTTTTGTTTTTTGTGTGTATATATATCTAAATATGTCTGGATGCTTATGTATTATAATCTGATTGTGTTTGTGTTGTTTTACACGTGATTTTACGACCCCATTTGCACACTTAGGATTAAAATGTATACATATATATTGTCGGAGGACCGGATGGAGTAAAGTCTTATTCTAACGTAATTTCAACGAAGAAATAAATTGAATAACATATGTATTTCCCCTTTTCTCCTCGGTAATTTTATAATTTTAAACTTAATAGTGATTAAATTTGGATTTTAAAATTGGCAGTTTTTAAATTTAATATCAAATCCTATCATATAATTTAATAATTATTGGTTAGAATAAATTCTTTTTTTAATTTTAACGATCTGAATAGCTATTATAACATGACTTTGTTGTCAGGCTTTTTGAATTTTCCTATACTTGTATTTTGATTGGTCATTCTAGCTTTTGGAACAACGTTTTCCCCATGTGAAAGATCGTTAACGAATTTGAAACTTTTAAAACCACTTGTTTTGCATTCAACATCATCACTTGATAAGACACCAGGAGTGTTGAAACAAAATGGCTATTTTTGTAGTGGTTTTGTAACATGTTTATGAATGAAACTTTTTATATAACAAATGTTTATTTTTCTATTTTTTAACTTTCTTTCCTTATTAAAACATATACCCCAATTCTACCCTAATAAGTGCCTAGAACATTATTCAATAAAAATTTCAGGTCAAAGTTCTGTTCATAACTGTGTCAGGCTACATGCATATTAATAGACATGCGCACACACACACACTTATCTTTTTACAATCCATGTTCTGAGAATGTTATGTTATTTTCACAATACTCTCAAAACAACCTGAAAAACACAAACTAAAAATACACCAAAAATAACATGGAAAATAAAAAAAGTATCACTAGCACAACACCTCAAAAGAATGTAATTTTCTGCATTGAGAAAATTATCAGTAGTTTAAAATTAATCACTGAAGTTTCTTTTTGGGTGAAGCCTATTAATGAAGCTTTTGTGCTTTCATGGGAATGTCCAGTGAAACCACAATCTTCTCCTTTGTTCATTCCTGCTTGTTCAGCTGATATAGCTCACAGAAATCATTTCTTCCAGCTATACCAATGTACCAGTTTGGATCATAACAGATGTCTCTTTGTATCTGCTTGCAATGACTAAGCATGCCATCAATGAGGCTAAGTCACTGTTTGCTATAGAATGAGATACGATATAATCTCTCACAAATTTGGTTCTCGAGATTACTGGTGGCTAAATCCTTAACACTTCCCCACCTTCAATCAATCCAGGTGAGCAACTCATTGTGTCTTCATTTTTCACTAACATGAAGTGAAGTGATTATTATTGAGGTCTGCAGCTAGGAAATTTTTCTTGCTAGAATCCATTTTGCACATTTATAAATCTACCATTCATTTATGTATTGAATATTGCTGCTATATTTGGTCTGGTGCTCCTGCTATATATCTTGAAATTCTTGAAAAAATCCAAAGCAGCGCCTGTAATTTTATCAGTCCTCACCTGGCATCTCAACTTCAGTAACTTTATCACTGATGTGATGTGACTTCCCTCTTCCCTTTTCCATAAATTTTTTCATGGCAGTTGTTCTCCTCCTTAGTACCTTGACTGTATGAATTTAAGTGTACTAGTAGATTTTCAAATAGGTCTTATTGTTTTACTGTTAAAATAGCTAGATATATACATAAGTTCTATTCTAATAGTTTCTTTTCTCACACCTGTGGAACTCTCTTCTGGTTCCTTGCTTCCTTGCCACCTACAATCTTCAAAAATTTAGTTGACTATATTACATTGCCTAAAACCAAATCATGACTGAACTATTAATTATCCATAGCCTAAAATTAATAAATTTATTTTAAAATACTAAACTTTATAATGAAAGAAAGCATATAATAAATAAACTCAAGGTTAGACTATAAATTACCTTAAAAAATGTTAGTCCTAAAAAATAATTTTAAAATGTTAGTTTTAAGAAAATTAGCCTAAAAATATTAGCCCTAAAAATAATCTTTTTAGCCCAGAACAAAATTCTTAATAGTTGTACAATAACCACCTGATAGTTATGATAAAGCAAAAGAATTAAAATGGAAGAAATACAAGTCAAAAAGTAATAATAATTGATATTGCTTCATCTAAGAAATTCAAAAAGTTCTCTATTCTTGTTTAAACAGTGATGTTGAAATATCTCTGAAGTACATCTAAAATTTGGCTTCTTCACACTTTGTACTGAGCTAATTATATTCTGAAAAAAATTGATCCAGCTGTTTATAACTGCTTAAATTTGTAACATATTGAAAATGATCTTGTAGGAAATTTTCAAAAATTCAGATGTATGATAGGGCATTTTTTTTATATGTTCTCTCTTGAGGATTTTCTGAAATTTTTATTTTTAAAAATGATTTCATATTTTTTCTTTCATGGGCATATATTTTTCAAATGTTTCTTTCTCCATTTTTCTCTTTACAGAGTGTACAGATATTAAGTCCTTTAGTTTGTAAAATACATTTCATGGATGAAAAGACAAAAGCAGTCCATGCTATGCCCTGTGACACAACAGCAGAAATTCTTGAGAAGGTGGCACAAAAAATTGGTCTCCAGTCTGTTGAAGGCTGGGCACTTTATGAAGTAAGTGAAGCATAAGATATCATTCTGAACAGTTCTTCTGGCAAAAATATCTTAGGTTATTTTAATGAAAATTCAACCATAAGAATTTTTGTATGATTTCTTAGTTTTAAAATAGCAGCAGCACACTTGTTATAAGCATAATTAGATTTTTGGAATTGATAAATATTATTTTTCTCTTTTGTTCTTTAAAAAGCACAATAATACACTTTAAAAAAACAATGTATGTAATGTTACATCTATTAATCTATTAAAGTTTTATAATCTTGAATATAATTGTAAAAGTTTTAATCAAACAAAATTATATTTTACTTATTTTTAATGTATATTTTTTGTTAATATGATGTTTAAACTTTTGTTCATTCAGTTCACTTTCTTTATTCCAATTAAACACATTGATTTAGATACCAAAATTTACCTCAATTTATTTTCTATTTAGAATATTAAAGATTTCCATTATAATCATTTCAGATTAAGTATTCAAAAAACAAAGAAAAAACATGCTGTTTTATATAACCCTATTTTGACAGTTCTAGCAGATGCTATATTTGCAGGTCATAGTTAACAGTATTCTCTATGTAGAAATGTTTAGAATAAAAATATACACACTTATCTATACTAAAGAACTGCTAAAAAGTATGTATAATTTTTTGTCTGGATAATAATTTTTAGACACTTGTGATATAATCTTTGCTATCTTTTGAAAGTCACATGCAATTTCTTAGTTGAGGTAGACTGTTTATCTTGAATTTGTTCTATTTTTCATAGTTTAACTTTGCCAATATGGATTTAGATCATTAACCAGTATTAAACATTGATGAAAAACATGACCTTTTACCTGACTTCCTACACCTCCTGAAGCAAAAGCATTGTGATATTTCTATATTGGCTCTGGAGGTTTCCAAACTTACTGAAAACCTTAACATTATGAAGGCTACTGGTCCATCCTTGAGGGATGCCAGAATTGATTTTATGTACCTCAGTCCTCTGAGGCACATAAAATCAATTCTTGCATCCCCAAGGTTCTCTCCTTGGTCCTACCCTCTTTCTACTTTATATTAACAATTTTCCCAAGAAAATTCTTGGATCCCTAGTAAATATATATGTAAATGATACATATTGTGTATGGGTGCACCTCCAAATATTTTGATGACCAGTGCCTGACAGTTCATTGGGGAAAAGACTGGTTGGTATCATCCAAAACACATGCTGCATTGTGTCATGAATTATTTGCTACTTTGCAGCCCTTATACCATGCACAAAACATTGCTAGCCTATATCACTATTACAATAACATATTTTCATATTTCTTAGCTCTACCAGTTCAGACCTTAACAGCTAGGTTATGACATGTTCACAGTGGAAAACTATCCCCATTCCTTTTGTGTTCCTTTGATAAGCTCAGATAACTTTTTTTCCCAGAACTGTTGCTTTGTGGAACAAACTCCCAAGAGGATGCTTTCCTGACATCTACAACCTTGTTCACTCAAATGATATCAATCCTACACATTCTTATATTATGTATTTCTTAATTCCTCCTTCACACTCCCTACAACAATCTCACTCTACCTTGAGTAGAGCTTGTACTGGGTGATCTATCAGTAACTAAAAATTTTTTTTAAAAATAAACATTAGCTAAAATTATTACCACAAATACTGATTATTGTAATAAATATCTCAGTCAGAATATAATCAAAGCCTGTTTTGAAATATTTTTATTACAATTTATCAAACTTACCAAATTTCATATCTTGTGCAATATTGTTACCACATGAAACTATAAATACTAATTATATTAAGTGATTATAATTATGATATCAAGAACATTCTTATATGTCAAAGAAATTAACATGATAGCATATGACAAGCATAAGATTTTTTTTCTTAAGAACAGTTTTTGTTATTTTAAGAGAATAAGGTTAAAATGAACAGCAGGCAGAAAAGTGTTAATGGTTGATTTTGAAGTTTAATCAGTGAAGCATTATATGAAAAACATTGAAATAGAAATCTGAATATGAAATTTCTACAATTTTAACATGTTAGTAATATTAGATTATTATTATTATTATTAACAAACAAATGATTAACATAATTCTTCCAGTAATTTGCAACACTTACAGAAGAGCATGATGCCAGAAAAGGAAAAGAAAAGACAATGTTTAACAATATTTTGACAATACATCTGTCTTCTTCAGGTTATATTTAAAAAATGCTTACAGGTATAAAAAATGTTTTTTAAAAAATCAAGTCTTTGTACAAATATCACTTGTCTTGAGAAAAACAGTTGTACTGGATAAAATGTTCTGGAAGAACTTGCAGAATCTTACCAATTTTACAGCTGCAATTTTGACAAAAACCATAAAGTACACCTTCTGAAACAGTATCCAGAATTCACCAAGAAAAGAAAATAGAATAAGTTTTGATTTAATAGAAATAAATCCCATTTTTCTATTTTAATGGGTGAAAAAGTATTCATACAATACAAAAAAAGGATACATATTTTTCATTTAATACTTTGTAGATTAGCCACTATTCTTTTCTACAGTAACCAACCTCTTCTTGTAGTTTTCAATTAATGATTTGCAAATTTTAGTCGGGATTTTTGTTCCATTCTTCTTTGCATCTAGTCTTCAGATCTGGAATGTTTGTTGGAGCTCTCGATTGGATTTGAATTTTCAAGTAACGCCACAGATTTTCAATCTAGGGACTGACTTGGCCATTTCATAATATTTATATTATTTTCAGCAAGCCATTTCTTTGTAGATTTTGCAGTGTGCTTAGGATCATTATCTTGTTGGAACATCTACTCAGGAGGAAGTTCAAGATTTTTAACCAGAAACATTAAATTTGCTTCTAAAATATGATATCCTGCAGCATTCATTCTATCATCTATTTCTGATATGTTACCAAGCACTATAATACTATTTCACAATATGATTTTTCCTTAAGCATGTTTTTACTTAAGAGAAATAAAGTGTAATCATTAATTACCTGTATATGAAATAAGGTAGTAAAATAATATTTGTTACTGAGTCTTTAATACTTATCACCATAGCTGATCTGAGTTGTCATTTTCCTAGTTCATGTTTGGAAACTCATTTACCCTTCGAAAGAGATTATTGCCATTATTTGAAGATTCTTATTCTTATATTATTCTTGTCTATCTTGTGTTAAACTGTTCAAAGATGAGGCTTAACTTGTGATAATAATTTGAAAAGTTTATTTCAGCTTTCAGAAGATAATGAATTTATTTAAAAATATTAATCTTGCAATCTAATTTACTTTTATTTTTTTAATATAAACATCATAAATATAAAAATATAAAATATGTGTCTACTTCTTTGTAATTATATATTGATTAAAGTATATAGGTAAAAATATTAAACTTAAAAATTGTGAGAAACTATAGAAAAATATTTGTAGATAATCAACAAGAAAGTGTAGCTAGTTTTGTTACTGTTTTGATGCTTATTTTAAGAATATTAGTAAGTTCAAGCCAGAATAAATATTTAACGTTTTAGTGCTAAGATATATGTCTTAAAATATGTTCCACTAGTGAAATAGTGAACACTAAAAGGTTAACATATTGTTTCATCACTTTTATTTGAATTAGATGCTGTTGGTAACATTTTCTCACTTTTAATTAAATTGGTTTAAATGCATGATCTTCAATAAAATAATTTATAGTTAAATATAACATAAATAATTGAAGCTTATACACTTTGTTAAAATTTCTATATCAATATATAACAAAATGATGCAGGATACCAAAATGTTTTGTTTACAGAGATGATTGTTTTGTTCAAATAACAATCTTTAATACTTCACTGGATTTTTATTTTGAATAATATGGTATTTTATTATTATTTTATTTGTCTTCTTTCCAGGTTACATCTGAGCATGAAAGGTTTATTCGAGGATATGAGTATGTAGCTGACATATTGGCACAGTGGGATCAGTAAGTCTACTAATTTTCATCTTTATTATTAATTTTACACAATTTACAATTTTATTGCATAATTTACCGAAATACAAGCATTTCTCTATTTTGAATACTAACATTATTTTTATATTCTCAAAAAATATCTCAGTCAACAGTTAAGAATTCATATGGAATATGCATATAAAACTATCAGATTGCACAATCTATGGCATGTTTTTGCATACTTTATTCAAATTAAAAGAAGAGAAGATTTAAGAGTGTTAGATTTTATAATGCAAGTCAGTGTTCTCACAAAAAAATGATATTAATCAACTGATGCTAGTAAAACTTTCAGGATATCATGTGTTTCAGCTTATACATATATCCATATTTAAAAATTAACTTGTTTTGGGATGAAAGTCAGTTCTTATTATTCAAATAAACTAAGTGAAACATAAATTTTTATTCATAAATAAATCCAAAAGATATAGGCTATAGAAAGCTGAATACATCTGAATAAATGATTATTTTATATGTGACATATTATACATTCTATGACCTTCATCAGTCTTTCCTTTAACTTTTTCCTTTTAACCTTTCTTGTTTTGACTTTAATATTACTTGTATCAGTTTTTATTTCTTTCTAGAGATCTTATTTACTTCATTCTCATAGACATCTCTTTTAATAATGAATCACAAATTTTTAATAATGAATCACAAATTTTCTAATTAGTTAAAACTGAGGGACATATTATTTTCATGTCTTTGAAACCTTTTTGTCATTTGCAGAATGTGAAGGAGCATTGTCCTATATGAATATATGCTTTAGCTTAAACCTTCTTGGTTATGATTAGTACCACTCAAAAACATTTCTCAAAAAAAAAAAGTAATTGTTTGCATTTATTTTGAAACATCAAACTGTTAAGTTTCTACTATACTAGCTCAAAATATTACTCCACCTGTTGTCTTCTAAGTCATATTGATTTACTCTGTGAATGCTCTAAACTCTAAGCCAGTCATCAAGTCTATCTAATTTATTATTACATTCTTTACTAAAAATAGTGTTAAGAAATCAGTTTTCATGCACTTCTGTTTGAGATGTTTACCTAAAGATGATAATTTGATTGTTTTCATATCTTTAACCAATATTCTTAATGTTCTACATCTTTTTTCTTTGTTTACATTTGCAATGCCAGTTTCTTTTTTTTAATATTTTTATTGCTGGTCAATCCATCTTCTTGCTTATTACATTTTTAATTTTTCTCATACACCCACTTGTTGATGATGATTGACAAAGACCAGAATTGAATAAACAGTAATGTTACTTTGAGATTCAGTCTCATGTTTTCATTACTGACAATGCTACATAAATAAAAATATCAACAATCTTTGGTTTGGTAATACTGATTTGATTGTGAATTTATTGACTTGCACTATAAAATTTGATATAGTGTATTTTATTGAAGTTTTGGGTTTCATTTATATATTATTTTTCATTTTTTAGTTATATTATATTCTTACAATATATTTATAATTATTATTGGAGTTTTCAGTTTCATTTATATGATATGTTTGGATTCAAAGTTTTAAAATTGAAACCTAAAATTAGGAATAAGTGAATATTGCTGTGCTTAATTAGCATTGAGCCAAAATAATTTCTTTGCTCCAACCAATTGTCTATCTGAATATCTATACTGATCTTTCAATGTGCAATAAAAATGACCTTACTCAGCAACTACTGGCACCTATACACCTCCATCACAATTCTTTTCCTTCTTATGTCCACTCCCTAAAATTATCCAAAAGAAAGTATTTCATGTACTCAGATTAATGACTGTGCAATTACTTGAGTAGAATTTTTATTGTAAAGCTTTTTGAATGGATTACAATGCTTTTTGAAACTTTCTCTGTACATTTAATTAGGGTGCATACACATTCACACACACAGACATAGATATATATGTATTTGTGTACATTAATTTGTGTGTGTGTGTATGTATATATATATATATATATATATACACACACACAAAACACACATATATATATATATATATATATATATATATATATATATATATATATATATATATATATATAAAATTGTTTATTTAGGCAGCAATCCTTCTTTCATGCAAGTTTCATTAAGTATGACAGACAAGGTGCTTTGATTAAATGTTTTATATAATTTCTTATATGATCTTATAGTTTTTTCTTTTCAGTAGATAAATTATACAAAAACAAATATAATAGCATTGTCTACATGTAAAAAAAGGCTAAAAATAATGGAAGCCTTATTAATAAAAACAAAAAAACAACACTTAATAATATCAACTATGAACATGGACATTTGACATTTGAAAATAAAATATTCTATAGTGCTAAATACATACATACAACAATCTATATCCAGTTAACAGTTAATATATTTCATCCTTGAAAAACATAAATGTATAGCTAAAAGTGCTTGGAAAAATATAACATTTGGACAGTTTTTGTATAATTTATCTAAGAAAAGAAAAAAATTATAAGATCATATGAGAAATTATAGAAAAATTAATCAAAGCACCTTGTCTGTCATATTTAATGAAACTTGCACAACATATATATATATATATATATATATATATATATATATATATATATATATATATATATATATATATATATATACATACAATAAAGAATTTAAAATTACATCATAGTTATGATGATTTCACATTACAAGTTAAGATTTACTTGTGTTGTGTCCTGTTTAGGGGCCAGAAAGAAAGACACGGAAGACGAAGGTAGGTTGAAAAAGTATATTGAAGATATATACAAAACAATAGTGTTAGTAATAAGTAGATTAGCACTGTGTCTACTACTCCACTCCCCTTCACACTCTGCGATCTGACTCTCGCAGTTTGTATTTATGAGAGGAGGAAGAGTTCATTCTACTGTAGGAGGGTTTACCCAACAACTTGTAAGGATTTTCAAACCAATCAAGGTAATAAGATAAAATAAAGTGAAAACAGGCCTAAAGCAAATTTTAAAACAAGGCAGAGGAAAAGAAGGGAAGAAAAACAGGAAAAAGTAAAAGAAATAGTGAAAAGACAAAACAGGAAAATGAAGAAAGGGAAAAAGAAGAATGTAAAGAAAGAGTAGTAATGTCTAGACATGGGAATAGTAGCAGGAGACAGATACATGTAGACTTGACCTTGACTTCAGTATCGAGAGAGATAATTATATATTTATATTAAAAAGAAAATATATATAAAATTATTTCAGAATTATTTATTTATTAAAAAACATATTGTTTTAATTTTTTACTATTTAGGAAATGTATTATTTAATATTCTTCATTTTATATTAACAAGAACATATATTAATCAAACTATTACCATCTATAAGGAAATAAAAAAAATTAAAGATGATTTTTTTATTTTAGATAAAAAAAAAATAACTGAGGAAGAGTAAATGAAAAGAAACATCTACACTTAAAATTACAAAGATTATGCGTATAAAGCATTGCATATAAAATAATGGAGAAAAAATAATAATATAATCGAGTTATTGAATAAAAAGAAATATATAAAATACAATTTAATAAGTAATAAGTACAAACTGATGATTAAATAAAAGAAACAATATAAAGAAAAATGAGATATAATAATTAAATATCAATAATATATATAATTATTATATTATATGAATTATTATATTATTATTAAATATTATATTAAATAATACGATATAAAATATAAATACCTCAAAATAACATCATCATTATATTAAATAATATATTAATATATCAACAAAAATACACCATATATCATTATAGTAAATAATATTATTATATTATTAAATATATCAATATATTATTAAATAATACCATTATTAAATATTATTACATATTATTAAATAACTACAACTAATAACATTATTATTATTATATTATTAATATTTATTAAATAATATATAAATCATTATACTATATTATTATATAATACAAATTATTATACATATAGAAACAATATATAAGAGAAAGAGATATAATTATTAATTATATATATATATATATATATATATATATATATATATATATATATATATATATATTTAAAAAAAATGAACCCTTTAAAAGAAAAAAAATACCATTTGAAAAAAAAAATTTTTTAAAAACATTTTATAGACAAATAGGAATAAATTAAGGATAGAAATAAATTAAGAGAAATAATTTAAATAAATTAAACAAATTAATAACCATGAAAATAAATAGAAATATAATTAATTATTAAAATATAAATATATAGTAATAATGTTAAATCAGAAGTTAAATATAAATAAATTTATAAACAAATAAATGATGAATTATAAGGAACCCTTATAGTAAGAACACAAATATAAGAGGATAATAATAATGAGGTAATATTAAAGATAATAGTAATAGTCATCACAGCAATAGTCATCTAAAAGTGACATGTTGAATCTGAAACAAGCCTTCATATCAGTATATACTTGTTTCATTAAGTTAACAAATGTGAAAGAGCAACAGATCTTGCTAAGAATCCTCCACAAAGCATCATGGTTTATGGTATCAAAAGTCAATTTCACAAAAACCTGTTATAATGATACTTGCTGTTCAATGCATTTCTCCTGCACCTCTCTTAGCAAGAAAAGCATATCCATAGTAACCCTACCCACTCTAAAATCACCTCTTGGAGAGCATACATTGTTTATTAGCCTATTCAGCAAGATCCTTGCAAAGAGCTTACCAATTGATTCAAGAAGATAGATACCTTAGTAGCTGTCACACAGATTTTGAATCCTTGCCTTTAAATATTGAAACCAGGCTTCTCTCAATCCAATCCTGAGGCACAGGAGTGCCTTCTCAGACCAGAATGATCAAGTTAGAAATAACTGAAGCTACACAGTCCCCACCAAAACACAGTAATTTCACTGGGATACATAAGACAGTGAGAAGCCAGGATAAGATGACAGAATATACTGAAACAATGAAATAAGATGCTGACATATCTGCACATCATTAAATTATAATGACAAACACTTGTGCAACACAGGTGCCACACTGTGAGTCTCCATGACTAATACTCAGTGACAAGCCTAGGCAAGATAACTAGTAATCACCCCAACCACAGGTTTCCCTGAGTTTTCCCTTTCATCAGATATCACCTACATATATGCACATACATATATACTGTCTTACTGCATCTGCTAGATGAGCATTGATCTCACAAGAGGATTCTTGCAGCCATTTTCAGGTCTGCTGGGAAACTAGCCACCCTCCTCACCAGTCAAGCCTGATGGGGAAACCAGTTTACTCACCGATAATCTGACTATACAGAAAGTATATATATATATATATATATATATATATATATATATATATATGTGTGTGTGTTTACAAATCCATTAGAGTTCATTGTTTCTTTGTATTCTTTTAAACACAAATGCACACAAATCAGTGGTATGTAAGGCATATAAAATAAAACAGAATTGTTATTATATAAGAGTATATGGATGTATCCCTACATATATAGATTAATATTTTGTAAGGTATTGTTGCTTGTACATGTACAAATATCTATAAAGGAATGTACAGATATCATTGTCATTTATTATAGCTATGACTTTTCATTTTTCATGACTGAATTATGAAACATAATTTTTAAAAGTATGCTATGTGGTAAGAAACAATAATTGAATCCTATTTCTCTAATGGATGCTTTATTTTTGAAAGATTTTTTTACTTGCAGTTAGCTGACTTCATATAATCTGATTAATTTTAAATGAAGAAAACTGACATGATAAAACATTCACTTAAAAACAATCTAAAACCTATTTTAAGTACACAAAGTAATTTTTCTATGACTAAATTTATGCTAATATATTTAAATTTCTTTATATTTTTGCAATACCTCTTAAAATTTCACAAAAAAAAGTTTGTGATTAGTTTTTTTACTTACCCCCCCCCCCTAAAATCAGTTTGAAACCTTCTTTAAGTATGTAAAACTAATTTTCTTTTTATACAATTTTATTAACATATTTTGATGCTATGGATGCACAATATAAAAAATGTATCTGATCTACAGTTTTAGGTATCAACAAAAATATAGCATGGCATATTTTATGTGATACAAAGCATTAGATATATAGCAAAGAAAGGCAGGTAAGTCTACATATAGATATGCATGCAAATGTTTTCACATATAAAACAATTCAATATAAGCATACTTACAATCATGAGACATATGAGTACAGAAGTGATATAATCATATACAAATATATTCACATATTTATTCACAAGCATACGCATAAATTCACTCTTTGGCATCCCTTTATATACTAATATACATGTATGATTCCAGTTTCTGTATATTTACCATAGTACTATCTTGTATATCTTTAATTGAAATTCTTAGATCAGCTTTTTGTCACTTCAGTCAGTGCCAGGAAATCTTGGACAGAGACCAATGTTAATATTTTAAACTCTAAAGAACATTTCCTTCTGTTGATCTGTATAATTTATATTACCTGCTTGCACTACACATTATCTTTGGAATCTATGTACCAAATTTACTGGCAAATTTTGAACATCAGTTGATTATTAATCATGATGACTTTTGAAAGCATTAAATTCACAAGAAACAAAAGTCCCTTACTTAACAGCATAAAGAATTATTAACCCCTTGCTTGAAGTCAATGCATGCCATGAATACAATGGTACATCATTTGGAATGCTCACGTTAATTTTGCTCTGTTCCAAATGAGTCTTGTTATCAAAAAACATTAAAATAGAACATATCTGTTTTTTAGTATTCAGTCAAATGCATACATTTATATTTATTTCCAATTATTTAAAACAGAGATATCTATATTATGATACTTAAATAAAACGTGAAATTAAATAATTTCTTTTGCAAAACTGTAAACATAATTTTTCTTTGTGTTTTTCAGACAAAAACATTTAACAAACACACCAAGCAAAAGTGATTCTTTATCAAAAAAAAGTAACAAAATTATTTTGGAGAGTTCTGATTGTCGATTTGTTTTTCGAAAGCGAGTTTATCGTCATGTGCATGATATTCCAAAGGATCCAGTTGAGTACCATTTGCTTTTCGCAGAAGCAGTGCATAAAGTTGTTAAGGTAAGTAAAATCTGACCAGATTAAATATTGAAGAATTAAACTACTCAGGTACAAGTGATTTGCTATCAGGTTAAACTAACATGCTATGATTTTCAGCTCTGATTTTGTAAAAAAAAATCTATTAAATGGTTAAATCCATTGTTGATTCCCATTGACTATAATGTTTGTAAAGATGAATAATTCTGATGTAATTATCAATATGAGTTTAGGTTAGATCTCAGGATATCACTTCTTGTTAATTTGTTTTTTTGCCATTTCATAATTATTTAATTAGAATGCTCAAGGTTATACAATGTATAACTTTCTGCTCTTGCAAACCATTATAAATGAACTTGATCCTTACCAAGGTTTGTTAAAATCACAGCCTTGTTACAGAGACATCCAACAAATAACCATAAAAGAATTCAGTGCAAATAGTCTTCAATGCATCAGTGTCATCTGTTTCTTTTTATTGCCATTTATATATTCTGTGGTGTAAAAGAAACTTTAAAATGTTTATTTCTGTTATGTTATATTCTGTGCTAATAGGAATATGGAATGGACAAACACAGTGGATAAATAGTAACAGGTTTATTGTAGAAACCAGTGCAACAAGCAAAGAAGTAATAGTTATGTGCAAGGTCGTCGCAAGTCAGTACAGTTGTGTGTGTGTGCTGTTATCAGAAGGTCAGTAGTTCTCGCAAATACCAGCTCGATTCTCTCATCTGCTGTCCTCACAGATACTTATAGGTGATTACCACCTATAGTGCTGCCACTCATAGGAGTGGCAGGTTATTCCATCACATCATATTAAAAGTTACATTTAATTATATTTCCAGTATAAAATTGGAAACAAATAAGAAAATAAGGCACTCAAAAAATAAAAAAATGTAATAAAATTATTAAAACAGAACAAAAGAACAAGTGATAAACATATTAAAATTAAAAATCTTAAAAAGAGCTTTTTTTAAAATAATCTTTTTCTTTTTTTAATCATTTCACCTCAAGCAAGGCAGAAATGCCACTAATACACAGGGATTGAAATCAAGAGAAAAGATTGAGTATAGGGAGGATTGAGGAAAGAACAAAAGATGAATGGGATTCAAGAAAACAGAAGATTGTGATTGACATTGCTTTTAAATTTTTGAAGATTGTAATTATCAGGGTAAACAGAAGAGAGTTTCACAGACGGGATGTGCAAGAAAAGAAATTGTTGGAGTAGAAGTAGTATTTGCTATTTCAACAGTAAATGGGCAATCTAGTAGCATTTGGGGTAACAGGGGAAAAAGCTCATCATAATCTGGAAGTCAGTCCGTTCGAAACAACCTTTATTTTACAAATTGATTGAAGTGATTGGATTAAATCAAACATTCTTAATATCATCTTTAAAAATTAATATAATTCAATAGAATTAGTGTTAAATTCTTCACTTTTTTGTTGTTTAATGAAATAATCATATCTTTTGTTAAGACAGAACTTTTAAAAACTCTAACCACTTCTCTTTTTTTTTTCATTAATTCAGCTGGATGAATTCTTAGTCTCTGAAAAAGTGGCACTCCAGCTGGCAGGATTACAGGCACAAGTTATTTGGGGAGATTATCAAGATAACAAAGACTTCAGGTAAGTAAATCACATGAACAGCTGAGTAATCTATAGAAATACCTGAAATGATAAAGGCTAGTGTACAAAATGGTCTTAGATACACATCATGATGTAACTTTATAGGTTGTAACATTCTGAGTGTTTTTGTGTACCATTTTGGACTGGTGTTTAATGGGATCATTCTGTTATTTTATATTTTGTGGTAATGAAGATCCTAAGAATAGAACATAGGTTACTGTTAAAATCATTATTTGAAACTTGATGTTTACCTGGACTCAAAGAATGACAAAGTAACCTACCAAGGAATATTCCCTTCCCTTTTTTCTTTTTGCCTTATCCTTCAACCTGATTTAAACTAAGTTTTCCATCTTGGTACATGCTCCTATGTGCATGTATTTTCTTTGTTTAGATTTTTTAAAGATGTTTAACATTTGTAAGAATGTTAGTTCTGTATAAAATTTACCAAACTGTATACAATTATTCTGTCCCTAAAATGAGCATTTTTGAATGACAAATATCTTTGTAGTGAACAATTACATAGAAGTAAACAAATCAGAGTGGCTTGCATCTGGTGTAAAGGAAAATAATAACTACCTTATCTCAATATGTGACAAGTAGCAGCAGGGTTTTATTCCTTTGAAAATGGCATAAATCTTCCACCACTCCCTCAGTTATTCCAGAAGTGTATGATTCTGAATCATTGGCTTTTATACAGCTTAGCACGGTTTGACCAATAGCAATCTGCATACTGCTTGGTCAGACTGGAGGATAACATTTGACTGTGAGACTGAAGACAAAGCCAAGAAAGCTGATTGGTCAGTCAGCCAAGGTTTTAGTGTAATAAAAAGGGCTGAAGCAGTGGTGGGAGTGGTGCTTTTTATGTAGTTGACATGTGCATGAATTTGAGAATGGTGTCATCAGAAGGAGTATTTGGTGTTATACAAGCAACATCAGAATAGAACCTCATTTAACTACAGAAATTACTACAAATTTCTTATAACAATCTTATATAATGTACGATTTATGCTTTTAAATGAAGGACATTAATATATTTTCTCAACTTAATATTCAGATTGTCCATTGTACTGAGTTGTTCATTGAATTGAATTTGTTTGTCTTCAACTCTATTATTATCAATTTATCTGTATATATGCATCCAAAAGTTTCAAATAATGATTTAACAGGGTTTTATTCCTTTGAAAATGGCATAAATCTTCGACCACAATGATTTTAGCCTACTACAGTATGTCCTGATTTAACTACATGGTGCATGTATAACAGCCAACATTTTTACCACCTATCATTTTCAGTAATAATTCTTAGTATTGATTTCACTTTAATCTTGCAGATTTGTTAAATACAAGATATTTCCCTCTTCAAAAAGGTTTTTAGTTATTTATGATATATATACAAATGATAGATTTTCAACTAATAAAACTGTTGTGGAGTAAATATTAAACCCCCGGTGACTATATGGACTAGTCCATTACTATAAAGAGCTTCAGGTCAAAGGTAAGACGAAACAGCCAGTTGGAGTCAGTATTCAGATTAACTACACAGGCATTATGGAAGATAGCCAAAGCATTACGTATAGAGAATCCTTATATGAAGTATGTTATATAAAGTAAGAGTTTGTTATAACATTGACTATACAATAGTGGCATTATAATAGTGGCAATGCGGGATCCAAAATTCAGATGATTTATAACCATTGAGTCAAGGATTCAGAACTTCAACATCTCTTATGCTAGATGCTGTCCAAAACATATATATATATATAACAGCACTTTTCTGTATTTTGTATATACAAATCCGGATGTGGGACTGACATTTTCTGTGTATTTTTGTAGATATGAACAAATATTCAAATTCAGGAATTCAGCGGTATATTGGGAAGATGAACCAAGGCAAAAAAATGAATTGACGTAATAATACAATTGGTAATACGGTTAGTAGATCCAGAAATGCGGTTAGTAGCAATAATAATATATATACAGTCTGGGAAATTCAGTATCGAAGTATGACTTCCTTCTGAGTCTACGTGCTCGCAACTGTGACTCCTACAAAGCGGTTACCTCACACTCTCACTCTCTCACTGTTAATTAAAAGAAAACACTGTATCCTCTGGGGTATTTACCGGCAGCAGTACAAGTACACACTCGGCGAGTCCACGTATAAAAAGACGTGGACCCCTTAACACCCCCCTCCTTAGATCCCTTTGGGGGGGGAGTTAGTATTTTTTTCTCTTATGGTCGATAATCAGAGGTTCGGTAAATTTTCTCTTCCTGTTTGACCTTCTAATTTCTGTGTCTTCCTGTGGTCTTTGGATCTCAAAAGCTTCGAAGATTGCATCCATTGAATCGTCGTTTTCTGCGGGTGACGAGCTTGGCTCCTCAACCCGTCTTTTTTGTAATTGGTCAATATGTCTTCTATGTGAAAACTTCTCGCCTTGTACTGTGTACATCACATTTCCTAATCTGTTAATTATTGTGCCAGGCTCCCAGTAAGCCATATTGTTTCTAAACATCCTAAAGTAAACCCGTTCTCCTGGTTTAAATGATCTCTTGGGTACAATAGGTGTATACTGGTTTTTGTTCTTGTTTGGCAATAATTTGTCAAACACAGACCTTATTCTCCGAGCAAACATCAATTCCGCTGGTGAAAGACCCGATGGCGTGTTCACGTTAGGTGTTATTCTGTACACTTGGAGGAACTGTTGTATCGCTTTTATCGTCGGTACATCCTCGGCTTTTTTTAACGCTCTTTTTAGTGTGTCAACGAATCTTTCAGCTTGTCCGTTCGACCTCGGGTGGTACGGAGCTATCTTGATATGCTTTACTTGATATGTCTCACAAAATTCTTTGAAGTCACTGGAGGTAAATTGTGTGCCGTTATCGCTTACCAAACAATCCGCGACGCCAAATCTCGCGAATAGTTCGTGTAAACAGTTTATGGTATTTTCTGTCGTCGGGTGTTTAAATCTGGCAACCTCTGGCCATTTACTGAAACTATCTACTGTTATTAAATAGTAGTAACCCTCAATGGGTCCTGCGTAATCCACGTGGATTCTGGACCACGGTCTGTCGACTTTAGGCCATGGCTTTTGTATAGAGGGTGGTGCTTTCGCCGCAGCAGCACAACCTTTGCGACTTTCCACCATTTGCGTAATATCATCGTCCATGTTCGGCCAGTAGACACAACTACTCATAAGTGATTTCATCCGGTTTTTTCCGGGGTGTCCTAAGTGAAAATCTTTCAAGATCCGTCTTCGTAGCGACTTCGGTATTACTACTCTCTCGTTATACAATAATATGTTGTCACAGATTGAGAAACTGTCTGCTAAATTCCTCACCTTCTCTTCTATTTTTTCTTGGTATTCTGAATAAATTCGTCTCTTTCTGCTTCTCGTCTTATCTCTAGCAGCGTTACAGGTAGTTCCTTTATTGTATTGCATAATACCTTACTGATTTCATCTTCAGCTTGTAATGCCGCAATTACCGAATCTTCTAACGGTTCGCCTTTCGCAGGTATTAATCGCGATAGTCCATCAGCGTGTCCTATTTTCTTTGATGGTAAGAACTCAAGTTTGAAATTGTAGTTTAGTAACACAGTTCCCCATCTTAAAAGTCTGTTCGCTGTATAGACTGGTAGACCTTTTTTTTGAACCGAAAATCGTAAGAAGTGGTTTGTGGTCCGTTTGGAGCGTGAACTCTCTCCCATAAATATATCTGTGAAAACGAGTTACTGCAAAAATTATGCCCAATGCCTCCTTTTCGATCTGTGAATAGTTTCTCTCCGCCGGTAATAATGATCTAGATGCGTGTGCAACGGGTTTGTTTGTACCGTTCCGCATCTTGTGTAGAATACACGCACCTACCCCATGTGAGCTCGCGTCACTTGCAATAATGATTTCGAGTTCGGGATCGAAATGTGTCAATGCTAACTCCGAAGTTAATTTTTGTATTATTTCCTTAAATGCTTTTTTACAGTCCTCTGTCCAATTCCAATTATTCTCCTTTTTTAGTAACTCATTTAGTGGGGCCCTCAGTTTATGCATATTATCAATAAATTCGCCATAGTAGTTAGCTAGGCCCAGGAAACTTTGTAGTTCTGCAACATTTTTTGGTTCAGGCATATTTTTAATTGCCGATGCCCTCTCTGGGTCCGGTTTCCTGCCATTTTCATTTATTATCTGACCTAAGTATTTAATTTCGTTTAGGAAAAAAATCACACTTTTCTCCTTTTACTTTGAACCCAAAGTCCTGAAGTCTTCTGAAAACTTCCTTTATGTGTGATGTGTGCTCTTCAACATTGTCGCTCTTAATTAGAATGTCATCCAGATAAGCGGTCGCGAAATTCTGGCCCGTGAGCATTGTGTCCATCGTTTGCTGAAAAATTGCTGGTGCAACTTTTACTCCGAATGGTAGTCTGTTGAATTTGTACAACCCTTTGTGCGTATTAATGCAAAGGATTTTCGTACTCTCTTCTTGTACTGGGATTTGTAGATAAGCCTCACTTAGATCTATTTTTGAAAATATCTTACCGCCGTTGAGCTTTGTAAATATTTCCTCTGGGCTCGGTAGTGGGTAATGATGGTCTTTTATAGCCTTGTTAAGCCCCGTCGAAAAATCTGCGCATACGCGGATTTCTCCTGATTTCTTTTTTACATAAACTACCGGTGCTGCCCATTCACTAAACTCTATTTTTGAAAGAATCCCAGTTTGTTCAAGTCTCTCCAATTCTTTGTCGATTTTTTCTATAGTAGCGAACGGTACGTTTCGCTTCTTTTTAAAAACTGGTTGGACGTTTTCTTTTAATTCAATTCTGGCCTCAAATTTGTTGCATCGTCCCAACACGCTCGAAAATACCTCAGGAAATTGGTTATATAATTCTTCCTTTAACTTTATAGCATCTGATGGTTCAACCTCTAACTTTTTGCAAAAAGAGCTGATAGGTAGATCCCAAACATTGAACTTTTGCATCCAGTCGATACCTACTAGATTTTCAGTATCTTTCAT